GAACGCACCCATAGCTTAGCTCGTGTTAAACAGCGCGCATAGGTTCAGATACTCCTCTTGTCAATGCGAGCGTTTCACAATAGTGCGCCACCGAGAGTTAGCAACGCGTTGGCCAATCACATTGTGCGAAATCTGTCGACCAAATGCGCGTTTGGAAAGGGTCAACAGATTTCGCGCGTTGCGATTATTCTAATTTCTTTGTTCAACCTTTAATACGTTTGCCTCCTTTGGGGCAGATAATCTCAGTATTCACTCTCTCTACAGGCCCCCAATTTGAACCCCAGCACAGTGACGTTTCTGACCTTTGCCCTTGTAAGCTCCTTCCACTGAAACGCCTTTAAAAGTAATGGAAAAAAACAGTCAAGTTCAAGCTGAAAATTGAGAGCAAACTGGCATCGGGTTTATCATAGGAGACAGGTGGTCGCAGTTTTTAATCCGCAATGTGATAAACGGGTCATTATCTCTATTATGAAGGGCAAAATATAGCTGCACCAGACGATTATGCACGCAGACGGTTTCAACCGTTTCATCCACAAGCCTTTGGATGTACTATAATTCATGGGCCTTTTTCCATATAGAGTGGTACATTATTATTTCAACACAGTTCTTTAAAGCACAACATTAAGTTTCGTGCTACTTTTTCAACAGAGAAATGCTTGGTGGAAGTCCAAGGTTGCCAACTTGGAGGGTATAACGGGTTGTCCATCTTTCTGATCCGATTGTGCGCAGTGCGCTACACGTTCGGCTTATCTAACCTGATTTCTCGAAGTGATGCCGACCTAAATTTTCCATGTAATCGCACCAAACTAATTTCGCGTTCTTATATTTTTACTTCCAGCACACTTGCAGCGTTTGCGCCCGCTGCACACTCTGCTATCATGGCTCACGTCCACTTCAGCGCCGTGACACAAAGAAGCCGATTCGACAATCCCCTCGTCCCTCAAGCCGGGCGAAATCGAGCGTCTCATCTCCATGGCGACCGCGATAATTGGAAATTCCGAATCCGAGAGTACCACCCCATGTAGCCTCGTAAATAACGGAGTCCTTATTCATATTTTATGGCCAGAGGTGGTGCCTTTCCCCTTTCTCTCTAAAGGACGCTTTTGCCTGCAAAGTAATAGGACTGATCGGGGAATCGGTTGGCGTAAGTTCCCCTTACGGATACCACTTACAAGTGTGTATATTTCTCTAATGAAATAATCGCTCAGTAAGAGCTGAACGCCAAGGCCAACATACGGCGCCGGCACCGCAAAGGGTAAATTATACCGTTTATGACAGGGATTCTTATAGTCGTTACGAGGATGACATGGGAGATCCTCTGCACGCAATTGTTGATGAATCCTCGTTTCATATCCTCCTATATAAGTAAATCTCACAAAGACTCTGACAATTATCGTCGTATCTCGTACTGATAATCCGTATGATTTTTATAAATGTACGGGCCTTATAGGTGTCAGTAAAAAAGCACTAATTATATAAATAGCTGTGATACTAGACTGACCTACTTTGCAAGGAATTGCCATATCAAATGTATATACAAAGCATTGTTGATAGAGGTGAATCTTCTGAGTGTCAATTGTCAGAAAATGATTGTGGTGCTACTGCAGATGTTTTCCCGCAAAGAAATTAACGCTGTGAGCGATGAAGCGCACGGGGCAAATTTTCATCGAATCGCCAGAGCTGTATAGGGAGAGAGCAGCGCCAATCTCACACTTTGGAACCAAAATGGCCGTTCTCAGTGTGCGCGCGCAGTGCAGCGTGCAGCTACTGTGTGTTGATTGCCTACGTGCACTGACGCATAACCCACCATTCTGGTTCCAACAATTGAGACACTCATGTCGCAACTCTCTTCACAAACAGCTAGAGCTGCGAATCGCGTCTGCAACCCCCTCGGTACCGGCGCATTATTTTGTTTCAATTAAAAGACCAAAATGTAACCAGTTTCTTACTGTGTTACGGAGCTTCCCCCGATTCAGGACGAATAAGTGGCAAAGTGCAGACCTGTCGATACATACATTATTCTGGAAGAGGTGATGTCATTTGCCTAGTTAAACTTGATCCACAAAAGGCAGCAACTCACGGACAGCGGCACGCAGAGCAACACGCGGAAATAGTTCGGAGAGTTATAAAGGGCAACTCGAAACTTAACAGTAATTATCTTTATGGAGCATGTTCATTTCGTAAAGCGCTCCAGCTTTTCTAATTGAGCGGCAGTTAAAAGGTGAAAATCTGTAGTGCCCGAACAGTTTCTCTGAATTAGTTTGTCTGGAGACCACTTTGGGAAAAACAGAACTTGTTCAACTGGCTCCTTCATTTCCTGAAAGTCTGTACGCGAGAATGGAAACTCAATTTAGAAAGAATGGATCTCACAACATTATGGTACAAGTGGGAACATAATAGAACAGTCTGTATAGGTCTCGACCGGCACGTAAATGTACATTGAATTCACATTGTACTTCCTTACTTAGTCCAATTAATCTACTCAGTTTTAAAGGCAGGCCCAAGGCAATGTTATTAAATGCAGGCCTACATTGTATATACATAATTTGTAAAGGATGAAATTAAAAATTCAAGGACGGGCTTTTAATTATGAATTGATTCTGTTGCTACTTGTTGTAAATACATGCGTGCAAAGTAGAACATTATCTATTTATTCACTCCGTGGTCTGCGATAGTTTGGATATTTCAAACAGTCCAGAGCATACCAAAATGGGTGAGCAGGCAACATAAACAGGAAGCAAAACAGGAGAAGAGTGCATCGCTTTCCCTGGGAGACTGTCTGAATGCATACACTTGAAAAATAGAGGATATAAAATAATCCTGAACGTCAATTTGAATTGGTACGTGAATCAGAACACAACTTAAAGAACGTCGGGTACTTCCCTGTTAAAAAAATATTTTTTTTGGTCTCTGCACAAGGACTATACCCGCCCCTCTTCGTGCTCGAGTATGTCGCTTCACGCTTACGGTCCAACCTGCGCGTGCACTGTAAAGCGGTTTTGAGTAAATCTCCCCGGACACTTGATTCAATAATGCCCCTGTAGCAGCCTTCAGAGTGGAGCAATTACGGGAGCAGTTCTTGCGAAGCACGAGCGAGCTGTGAGGCCCGCTCCTCAAAACCCCAAGGGCTGCGCCAAAGAGAGCCAGGCAACCCATACTCACAAGGAGGTAAACACACCAGCCCCCAAGATCGGGCAATTATGTGTGCTCGGATGTAATCAACTTACGGGCGATCGAACAGGGTGCAGACACGTTCGACTTCGTCGAAAGTTAAAACAAGCTATACATGCCCCGCGGAGGAAGGATCGATTTTTGCCTACAAATTAATAGTCATCAGGAAAATCCCCAGAAAGGTTGTATACAAGTCGAGATAGGTTTCGTTTGAGACGCAAAAATGTTACCACAGCAGGTCGAAATGCCTGCAGTCCAGCCTAACGGATGAACCGTCCACGTGTCAAGTTCACTAAACTGGCCCGGGCGGATGGTTTGAGGATAGTTTCCGACCTGAAGTCAGTTTGGACACTGAAAACATGCATATTTGAGCCATTTGAGCCCCGTCGGTTATTATTTTGAAGGCTTCTGTCACCCAGAAAATTTACCAAATATATCATTTTCCTGTTATCGTTAACACATCCGCCAACAAAATATATTGCTCAATTCGGACGACGTCAAGATGACGCTTACGGGGTTGTAACGGGTTGTAACAAGACATGCTACTTCACTTTGTTAATTTAAGGGGTTTGGAACAAGTTATTGGCATAATGGACGTGAAAACAACATCACTGGTCGGCTAAAAGCATACATTGCCGCGTGCCGTAAGTGAGAAGTTGGTCGTCTCAACATGTCGTCAAAACGGTCAGACGGAGCGATGGTAATACGGTACATCACCCAGGTGTCAAAACTCAGCGCGTACGGTTTGACAAGGTGTGCAGTGCAGCGACAAAATCCAAGCTCTTGGTAAAGAATCCCCCTCGAGCAGAAGCACCCCCTCATCGGTTGAAAAGAGCCATTTTGGCCAGAAGTGTTCATTTTGTTGGTAGCGATGCGACCATAAAGCGTGCATCTCGTGGTCGTTCAAGTTAACCAGTGAAGTCCAGTTCTGACCAAAGGAGCTTCCGTTGCTCAGAAAAAAAAACGCTCTCTCTTGGTCCAGCGCGCGACCCACACCGGTCTTTAGGTGTATCCACCTCTTTGAGTGTATTCGGGTGGGGCATCTTCAGTGGATACACATTCATGATTCAAAGCGTTTTAAACATGCAATCATTCAGAGAAAAGTCAAAATGATTTTTCGAAGATTCTATATTCCAACAATGATAAGCCACATTGTTGGTATTCGAAATACATGTTTAGGGTCTTCGGAGGGATTCAGAAATGTCTTCATTTCTTCATTGTCTCAGATCTGCTGAGAGATCGAAATCTCTCTCAGTGGATATACTGGATGGAAACCTAATAACAGTTCTTGATGCTTGGAAAGGCTCCACACCTTAGGGGAAAGTTCAATCCTTTATAGGTTGGATCTATTATCCGGGACTGAACCCAAAATAGTGACAGTCCATGTACTGGATTCAGGTCCTTGGAAGAACGAGAGTTTGGTTCTTCATCAAATCGCCGAATGAAGACACGATATGAGCCAGATTCATGGATGGAAACTCTTGGAATCGCATCTGGATTGTCGAGGGTGTCCTAGAATCGACTAGTCAGTTTGATTCACACGGATTTTATTTTCCTATACTTTGATCAAGGAAACAGAACTGATATCCACACATCATGTTGATTTAACAACCGATGAACCATTCCCTTACCTTCTGTCTTGATCACGCACCAGTGACAAGCAGCCTCGAGGAGTACGCTAGAAGTCATCCCCTCTACTGTGACGACAGCTCCCGGGTAATTAAGACCCCAGGGATGTTGCCTCCGTCGCTAGCCTCATCGAGATCTCCCCGGCGATCGTCTCCTTCATCTCGGCAAAATCCGATCCTTGTCATTTCTTCCCAATCTGTCGCAGATCCAAATCCGACAAGCAATCAGTGACTCTGCGGCTGTTGTTTTTTCTTTCCTCGCCATTTCTGATCGAGGGGTAGCCAGCTTTCGTCTGCCCGTTAACTGTCGCCATACAGACAACTCTTGAAAATGTCTTGAAGAGTTTTGGAGCCAGTCGAGCCTTGGGAATAATTACACCTAGACACAAACTGAATGACCACAACAAAGATGACCATCAGACAATCTGAAGCAAGTGTATTATAATAATAGTCGTTATATTTCAGTTTACTTCTGCACGTAAAACATTTTTTTCATTTACAAAAAGAATCGCCAACACTTCAGGATTTAACATTTAACAAACGAATTGAACTTCCACATAAGTATAAAACTGGACTTATACCTATTCTTGACAGATATTTGGCTTTTAAAAGTACCATTTTGTCGCCTCAGCGGGTATAGAATTTAAAAAGGGTTTTCATATTTATAAACTGTTACACTCTTATTTTTCTATCTTTAATATTATTTAACTTTTTCTGAAAAAAAAAACATAATGAAGAGCGAATAATATCGTCAATCGACATTCGCAGTAAACTGGAAAGATATTGACAAAGTCCAATGTCATATGTAAGAGGTTTACAAAAATCAACATTAACAGTAGCATAAACAAAAAATCAATAACAGATATAATCAAAACTATTGTTTTAATTCGCCAGCCAAATAATACATTATTGTGAACGATGTTGGAATCTAGACAAAAAATCACAAAACATAAAGCTGATGAAATTATGTTTTGAAAAGAAACAGTTATATGTCCTCTGGATTTTATACTTTTGGTGGCAATATTACTTCGTAAGAAAATATCTACAGTGAGGTCAAAGTATCAAAAAATAGCCTAATGCTACGAATATTTTCATCTGGTAAAATGTCTATCAGGTCATATTATGTGGAGAAATTAAAGAAAAGTCTTCCTGATTTCAGCTTCACTCTTGGGACTCTTAAGAAGATCAGTCTTTCGTATTCATTTTGCACATAATTCTAATTCTTTGGTGCAACTGCATTAAACTCATTTCACAATATAAATCTGAGTCAATAAATAGACTTTCCACCGATGATGACGACTCATAATTATAGATACCCTACATGTCCTACACTGAGGCTTGGTAATATGTTCCAAAATCTGGTGTTTATTTACAATGTGTTGATGATGCGATCCCTACAGCACCTGAAACCGAATGTCTGTAGCATAACAACAGATGCTCCGAGGCGGAAACTGCATTTGGACTTGGAAAAACAGGTCTGGAAAATTACAGGTGAGATAATAAATTGACGGTAGGCTCTGATCGCACAAACTTCAGTCACATCAGTCCGGATGTATTATAAGAAATGATTCCAAAGGGTGCTGGCCCTTTCATGTAGCAGGTTATTAGTCCGTGGATATTAATAGCGCAGGCATTTTGTTCAGTGAGTGACACGGTGAATCAGATCAGTCGTTTGCTCTTGCGAGGGGGGGTGGTGGTAGTGGTGCCCTCGGCGTCTAAGGAGTCGCGCCAGAGCGGATTCAAAAGAGTTGATTGATTCTGCTAAATGGCCCCTTTCGGCTTCTCGTTTAGATCCGGGTAAGTACCGGCACGGCAGGACGGTGGGCTCGAACTAACCTGGACACAAAGGGGAAGCCTGACCGAATCAGTCAAGCCACAGGGCTGGTAGGGAAATGGGTTGGCGCGTTTTCGCGAAAGTCATATGCTCTCCCTAAGATAAACCCCCTTTCTCCATCTTCTCCTTCCAATTTGGAAGAGGGTTAGTTAAAGTTTTTGAAAACGGGGTATCGTCCAGCCGTTTTGAATTTGTTTTAACTTATTCTGGAAAACTTCACACGGCTTATTTCCTGTACTGATTACTGCTGTAATAATACCAGTGAGGAAGAAACATAAGAAAGTGATTTCAATTCGTTTAAAATGAATGTAAATATTCGGTGACATTGTTCCAATTTTCAATTTTCATTCTTTGAAATTAGAAGCACCACGACAGCAAATGAGGCCGTGTTCTCTCATGCGCATAACTTGAAACATTTCGTCGAAAGCGCGACAGACGGGTAGGGTATTTACGTCAAACAAGACCTGCCTCCTCATTACCAGGCATCCAATGAAGCCAACAACTCCATGTGCTGTGTTGGAAGCCCTTTCAAAACTCGAGGATGCATGAGAGAAAAGGGAATCCCCCATTGATTCCTCCAACCCTCGTGTTGAATTTAGAAGGGGTTTGAATCGAGTGTGCTTGTGAATAATTCACGTAGTAATTCGTCAAATGTTTGCAACGTGGGCGGGCTGAGAATGATGTCTCTTCTGAGTCATGAGCGACTTGAAACAGATGCGACACGTATACGCACATCAGCATAACGAATCTCGTAAAAGAGATTTTCATCAATTTTCATATAGAATTGAATTTGTCGGCATTTAACAATGGACTCTGCTTAGCTTGTCTCCAAGCGGATTTGAGACCAACCTCAAATACACGTTTCTTATTCAACAGCTGGATAAAAATAAAAACGTTTTCCCATTTCATAAACACTTGTATTAAATTCTCATTCATTATGTAGCATTCAACAGGATATTTCGGTTTATGTTGAGGCATTAAAAGCACTCGGTATCAGAGTCTCACAAATATGAATTACCAAGCTGGAAATAAATCACACTAAGGTTTCCCAAACACAGCGTTGCTGCTCGACCTCCTGACAGCTCAGAGCCACAGACCACTTTTCAATGCTTGCAACATTAGGCAGACTTTTAACGATACGCATCAGGTATAAACAGAACTTTGTTTTCAACATCTCCCGCTTGTACTGTAAATCACTCAATTTAAGACGGCTGGGCTCATTATTTTTGATATTGCTTGGAGGAGCACTGACCCTTCTAAACAGAAAAGAAATAAGAAATGAAGTAAACAAATTATGTGTGTTCTTGAAGGAAGAAGTATCAGCTTCAGATGTTGGAGAAATACACGGAGAAGGTTGGTCATTAGTTGGGAACGGACGAACCTGATTCCCAAAATGTAAGCTGGTGGAATTTTGAACCTTGGTCACGAGATGCACACAGGGAGAAAAGTACCAGCACACCCAGTTGAGCACGGAAGAACTACCCTCTGTAGAGGGAAGAAGTGATTGACGGCTTCACCTACTCTCCAGGCATTCTTTTGCAGCAACATTCCTGAATAAATTAAAAACTATGCCGGAACCAAGGATTGCATTCGGTGAATGTCTGTTTCCGAGACGCAGCGATTGGTCCATGCAAAGTAAATGTCACTGGGCTGTACTGTACTTGATCTTGGTACAAAACCTGTTGATTTTCAAGGATTATGGCCACAGGATTAGATGTCCTTGATTGTTTCCAGCATTCCGCAACATCTTACCTTTACCACTGAGTCGTCACTGGGAGGGTTGCAGGGTACCAATTGCCCCGCTGGCTTCCAGCTCTTGAATTTGATCCCGGTCGTAGCCGAGCATCTCCGAGAGAACTTGATCGGTGTGCTCGCCGAGCTGAGGGGAGGAGAGACGAACGTCAGTTTGGATGGTGCTGTACCCAACAGGAGGCCCTGTGAGAATAAAAAAGCAAGTTAGATATTGTCCCAGGTTTGCAACCGACTGAGGGACGGTGGAATTCAACAAAAATTTCTGGTATTCAAACAGGACCACACTACGTACGATGTGCAGGTTCAACGCACTTTTCCATAACTAAGGACTTGTTACTTTATTGGCAAATGATGTTCTGTGAATCATGTCCCGTGAATAACAAGTTTCAAGATGTAAACACTTCAAACTAAATCAGAATATCCTATTCAACGAATTGCAGGGTCTAACTGAAAGTAAACCCAAACCGCACACTATTTGATAATGTGTTTTTAAAAGTCAATACAAATTCACAATTTTAAGATTTTTTTTTATAAAGATTGGTTGTTTTATTTATAAATCAAACTCAGTGAGGTTTTCTTTTGTACATCTCAAAGTCAATGACAACACTCTCAAGCGGAAAACAGTTATGGCCAATAAAAAGAGACAAACAGAAAACATGTAAAATGACGGACACAAACAGTTATTCCTTTTAGTTTTTCCAAGGAGAAGATCTGAAAGTAAATTAAGCCCCTCTGGAGCAATATAATGAAGAAACTTTTCAGCAAGGGAATTCAGCACAGGAAATGCCTACTTTTAGCATGGGAGGCAGCCCCCTGGACAATTAATTATAAGGAAATACTCAAAGGCCCAATTAAAAGAAGGGTTTGACGTCAATGCAAGATCATTACATAGAAATGGGTAAGGGCAACTTAAAACTTGCCACTCAGAATTTATTCTTTTAGAAATAATTTGTACAGGTGTATAGCTGTTGCAATGACATTTCTCCAGGGACACTAATCCATTCTAGCTTTGAGTGAAGAATCAATTTCCAACTATTAAAATGAGGTTCATCTGCAATACAGCCTCCCTTTACAAGTCTGACTCTGTACATCAGATTTCATTTTTAAATCTAATGTTGGTAGCACTATATTCCTTTGAATCTATCTGACTTTGTTTGCATATGGATGTCTTCATCTGCAAATAGG